TTTTATTTTTATGTGGTGCTGAGGATCGAACCCAGCGCCTAACGCATGCTAGGCAAGCGCTCCACCACTGAGCCATAACCACAGCCCCAGTTTGYAATATTCTTATGTTTGGGTTTCATCTCTATACTCACTAAATCCAGACCTTGTTTGACTAGGGTCAGGTTGAAGAGGCTGGAATATTTTAAAGCAAATTACAAACTGTTGAGCATTTTATTTGTAAGTGCTTTAATGTATACCACTAATATTTAAAGGCTTAAAAATGTGTAGAGTGCTACTATTGTAATTTTAAAATTAAAACCCCAACACTTTCCTATGATAGGTTGCACATCCTTAGTCTAAAAATCCCAAACCTCAAATCCTCTGAAATCTGAAACTTTTTGAATGTTTAAAAGAGATTGTGAACAGATTTCAGAGCTTTCAGATTTTGGATTTTCAAATTTCAGTGCTCAGCTGGTGAAGTCTATGCAAATATTCCTAAATCCAAAACATTCACAACTCTTCTGGTCCCAAGCATTTAGATAAGAGATACCCAATCTGTGCCATCTAATCCTCAGCCCATGTTCAGTCTCTCCAGTATCTCAAGATAGCTTATTATTATATCTACAAGGGATTGTTTAATGTGGCCTTTATCCTATTCTCCCTCCAAATCATTGACTTCCTGTTTATATCTCCTTTCCTTATACATAGCTATTACCTTAAATAAGGCCCGTTATCTATTTTTGCCTTGATCTGCTCTAGTCATCTAAAGGGTCACTTTTCCTCCAATCTCACCTGTAGACTCCAGACTACTTCCAGAGTAATTCTTGTTTATTTGTTTTTTGGCAATGCTGGGGATTTTACCCAGGACCTTGTACATGCTGGGCAAGTACTCCACCACTAAGTTACATCCCCAGCCCCAGGGTAATATTTCTCAAATGAAAAGGGAGTTCTCTGAATTCTGTGTTTAAAAGTATTTCATCATGGGGCTGGGGATGTGGCTCAAGCGGTAGCGCACCTGCCTGGCAYGCGTGCGGCCCGGGTTCGATCCTCAGCACCACATACAAACAAAGATGTTGTGTCCGCCAAATACTAAAAAATAAATATTAAAAATTCTCTCTCTCTCTCCCTCTCTCTCACTCTCTCTTTAAAAAAAAAAAGTATTTCATCATTTCCTTATAGATTTCATCAGTCTCCTATGAAAAGCCTAAGCTTCTGTGTTCACACGTGGAATTCGGCATGGCTTGGTCCCTTGAGAATGTCTACTGTGTGCCAAATATGAAGCATTAATCCCCATAGGTTAGATTTCTAGGTGTGTTGTTCAGCCTCTCCACTCAATCTCAGGGGAAGCCAGATTTTACTCCATGCGTTGTAGCACTTAGTCTGAGTTCTGAAATTGGGAGCTGGGCAGGAYTTCATTGGGTCCACCTCTGGGAGCATAAGTTGGAGGTAGTCAATAGTGTTGGGAGATAAGAAAAAAGTGGGAGCAGCCAGGACGATCACTGAGCAGGCAGCCAAGGCTTGGGCGGGGTGGGGTGGACCTTTGTGAATTCAGAAAGACAGGTGCACGTGCCCTCCTGTAGGCATTCTCAATAAACGTTGAGTTCACTGAGTCCTGTTCATGGTGGACTAGGGCAAAGTTTGTGATATACTGGGAATATCCCAGTGTCATTCTGCAGTCAGTGTTGTAAGAATCCTTACTGCTTGTGACAGAACATTTGATGCAGTAGATCATAGCATAACTCTCAGTGCCCTGGTTTTTTGTTTGTTTGTTTTGGCTTAGTTTGGTTTTGTTTTTTCGAATTGTTAGGTTTTGCATTTTATTGTTTTAGGTTATGTTGGTAATTTTTTTAAATGTGCTTTGTTTTATAGACCATCATAATGAATGACTGTATCATCCGAGGGGATCTGGCAAACGTAAGAGTTGGACGCCATTGTGTTGTGAAAAGTCGTAGTGTCATAAGGCCACCATTCAAGAAATTCAGCAAAGGGTATGTCATTGAATTATCTTGGTTCAGTCTTGGGCAAGATGCTGGTGGTGATGGTGTTCTTGTGTTGAGTTATGGTGTGGGGAGCAGGTCTGTCCTATTTGGGGCACTGAGTAAGAGTTTGCTGTAATGAACACATCTCTTGTGGTCGTGATTTTAATTTGGCTGATGCTAACCAATTCCAGAAACAAAATCCACTTAAGCTGGCAAAGCAAAGAATGTTGTGCTTTAACATACAGAGGCGTATTTGACAGGACCTAAGAGTCTTCTACCTAAGAGGAGAAAAAGGAGCCAGGCCTCACAAGGGCCTAGAGCCTGCGGCTGGAAAGCCAGCAGCAGTCAGCACACCTGTCCTATCTCTCCTCTCTGTCTTCAAGATGATGCTGTGTGTTCTTTTCTGTCCTCTCTCTCCATCCCCACTTTCTTCTCTGTCTGATTGGCTGCATCTGGCCCATTGGCTCTTGGAGACTACCATACTGCCTCAACCCCTTGCTTATCACTTCTCTTTTTAAGCTCCCAACATGTGTCAACTAGAGATCTTACATCTTATTTCTAAATTCCTGGGATAAAGATGGTGGTTAGCTCAGTTTGAGTGAAGTACCTACCCCTGGTCCAAATAGCTGAGGGTGGGGCAAAATTAGGATTGACCTGATCCCTCAGTAGGATTAAGGACAGTCCAAGAAAGGACCTAGACAGAACAGAAAGACCAACCAGGGTGTGGTGTTCTCTTTGCATCTCTCCTCCGTGGCTAATTGCTTTCCTGATTCTGACTTATGGCACCACCTATATTTCATCCAGTAAYTCAGCCTGCATTTATTGAGCACCATTCCTATACCAGCCATTGGGTTATAAAGCTGATTATATAAAGATAGATAAAATAGAGTTTCTGCCTCAAAGTTCTCAAAATCTAGAGGTAGAAACAGTTATATAAACAACTACTATATAATACGATATTAGAATGTGATAGCTGTCATATAATGTGATGCTCYGTCACAGGTGGCAGAAGTTAGAGAAGGAAAGAGAAAGGAGCACCTACCTTAACAGTAACACCTAGGAGTAGGTCCTGCAGGAGTAAACCCATATTTCCTATAATGACATTGAACTCTGGGCTCCACACAGGAATTGGGTTAAGGAGCCATTATAAATCATTCACGTGAAAATATTCACCCATTAGCTCAGAATGAACTAAGGGTGGGGGGCAGGGTAAGAGGACCAGAAAGCTCTGTGGTTTCCTTTTGGGGACTCCTATGGTGACTGCTGCTCTGCTAAAGTTTGATGAGATCAAGGATTTCCTTGTTGCACAGGGGTAAGGACTAAAAATAATAATGAATTAACAAAGATTTAAATGAATTGTGAGTCATGGAGGATAGCTACTAGCTCTTGACAAAATTTTTCTGACAATGTGACACAGGGCTGGAAAAGGCCAGTAAGCAGATAGCTACTTTATATCCGTTCTGGGCCAAGTATTTAAAATATGATCCCATAATATGATCACAGATCATGGTTAATGACACTTGAGGAATCCTGGCAAATGGGAATGAGGTCGGAATTCTAGAGAGAGCCTGCTGACTGCCATTCCTCCTTCAGGTCTTGGCTCAACTGTTACTTTCAATTCAGCTTTCCCCAACCACTGGTTGGGCAAAGTTATATACTTTTCCTTGTTACATATTCTCAGAACTTGGTATTGTGTCTCTGTAGCACTTACACAGTTGTAACTAATTATTTGTTTAGTCAGTTACTTCAGTCTTACTTATTCTCTTGACTGTAAACTCCTCATGGACAGGATTGTGTCTTTTGCTTACYATATATCCTCACTATCTGGCACATAATAGGCACTGAGTAAATATGGTGATTTTAAGAATCTTGGAGATTAAAAGTTATAGTGCATGAACCTGATATCAGTTCCTTGAAACATAGGGCAGATTACTAAAAAYGTCATCAGCGGCCATTGTCAAAGGAAGCAGAAATGAGTGAACATTCATTTTTATTTGGTGCCTGCTCTTATTTTTTTCCACATTTTTTATTGGTGCCTTATGACGAGATTTGTTGTTACATATTTGTACCTGCACACAATATAACAATATAGGTTGCCCAGTACCAGTCCCCATCGCTTTCCCTCTCCCTTCCTGTCTGCTCTTTTAACTTTGAGGATCTTGCTTCTTTTGCCATGCTGTTTCCTTACACATTTCTTTGGCCCAGTATTTCTGATCTTGAGTTACCAGTCTCACCTGCATTCGTCATCTTCAACATGGTAGAGTTTTATGGCCTGGGGAYGCTTAGAACAGTCTCATGGGAGAYACGATGAAGTTGAGGTTATGATCAGTAGTTCTATAAACCTTGAACCAAAGTACGTTGCCTTGACCTTTCTTTSTCATCTTCTTTTCCTTCTCTAGTGTTGCATTCTTTCCCTTACATATCGGGGACCATGTCTTTATCGAGGAAGATTGTGTGGTCAACGCAGCTCAGATTGGTTCTTACGTTCACGTTGGCAAGAACTGTGTGATTGTGAGTATGGTGACTCAGCTAATTAAGCAGCTTTGTCCCTCTGCCTCCATCCCTTAGGTCAGTGGGGGTCTGCTTCTGTGACCAAGCAGGATAGTAGTAGTTTCTAGTCTTCCCGAGGTTGGGTCTTCCTTACTGGATTTGGAATTTTTTCTAGGCATTAATAACAGTGGCTAACCTTATAGAACCTCTGACATAAGGTGTTAAACTCTTCCTTTAGTCACTCACTTAATTCTTTCAATCATCCAAGGGTGTTTAGGTACTGGTATTGTCCCTATTTGCAGATGAGAAGACCGAGGACCTGAGATGTTATAGTAAGTGGTAGATCTAGGATTTAAATGCAGCCATATGATTAGCTGTGCTGCCACATAATCTACTGGTTGCTTTAAAAATCAAGGAGYTTATGGCCTAGTGGGGGACAAGGGATCTGAAGGGCAGGTAGAAATTGGCACAGAAGACAAGGGGAGCTTGGACAGTCAAAAAAAGGGAATGACATGTAAAAGGGTTAGAGTCACCAGATGACATAATGACATAATGCTAGGGGACCTGCAGGTAGTGCAGGGTACAAATTGGCTCCCTGCTCAGCAGTACCTGTAGGTCCCTGGTCCACAGGGAGAATAAGTGTTGGTTGGTTTATTTCACCCAGCCAAGGTCTGGATTTCTTGCTATTTCATAGGTGAAAAACTTGATTTCTTTTGGGGATTCTAAGAACATAATTGGTGAGAATATTAATGACCAGAGCCTATCTGCCTTAATGTTTAGGGAAAATGTTTCCTACATTTTAGATGTATGTCTTAGAATAGATTCTAGGAAAACTGAAGACCATCTTCATGGTTTTTT